TGTTTATTTCAGAATTCCCTGTACGTTACCCAGATCAATATACACTTGCGGAAGACTGGAGGGAACAGTGGTTGAAATGTTGTGATAAAAACATCAAGGATGAAGACAATAGTCCAAATATAAATAGTGTAAATAATGATAACTCTTCATCCCAGAAATTCAGACAGAAAACACCATTTACATCTAGAACATTGTTCCACCTGTTCTGTTGCCATTTATAAAACAGGAAAATGTTGTGATGTTCCAGCAGGATAATGCCTGTTCACATGATGCCTGTACTACTCAACATGCTCTGCATGATGTTTGACAACTTTCCTGACCAGTATAATCACTACATCTGACCACCATTTAATATGTATGTGGCATGATAGGATAATGCCTGACTTCTTCAGTTAGTCCATCCATAACCCTTGCTCTACTGTGACAACAAGTACAAGAGGCATCATACTTATACAAAACCCATGTTGTGTGTGTGTCTGTTCGTTTATATATTTGATCTGATTTCGTACATTTTTCAACCGATTTCAACAAAACTTCACAGGACTACGTAAAATTACCTTGCGGTGGTTCTGACAGTGATTAAGAGGAATTGCTGTCGCGAGAATGGAAGGGGGACAACTCATAGCGAGTTATACTTATTATAAAACCCAGGTTTTTTGTGTGTGTGTGTGTTCGTTTATATATGGGATCAGATTTCCTACATTTTTCAACCGATTTCAACAAAACTTCACTTTTTTTTGGCAGGTAGTGTTTCTTATTGTCTTGCACACTTTTTTCTTTATTTTTACATTCAGAATGCTTTAAAAATTCCATTTACAAGACAATTGTTTATAATAAAATTCTATTCAATCGGTAGACTCATAATGGTTGAAAACAATGTTTTTGTTTGAGTTTGGGTTTGACCAATTCGTAAAAAAAAACAAAAAAAAAACTAATTAAGACACGCGTGTCTGTCAACCTTTAACAATAATCTTTGTCAATTTTATTTTTCAGTCTTTATGATGGTCGATACTTGATCTATCTCTTACTGTTACATCCCCAGGCAACGCCAGACTCTACTGCTAGTGGACTAATATATTGCAGCATGGTATTTATCATTTATATTATTGTATTCCTGAGTTAGTGTGTATTAATGTCCAAGAAGTATATGGTAATAATAATATTAGTCATTTCCTTATAAGGAACATTTGGCATTCACTGACTGAGCAAGCAGGATGACATTCATTTGAAATTTGTAAAATCCTTCAATTAAAACAATTTTAAAGGAAAATAGGTTCATCAAGTCCAGTAACTATTGTTGTTCTTTCCAGTACTGGTGAAGGATTATTTCATAACCTTTTGTTTGAATTAGCATGGAATGTTATCTTGGCTATGCTATTATTTTTTCTTCAAGTTACATGTCCAATCCATTTTAATTGTTGCTTTTGTTGACAATCCTCAAGTGATGTGGTTTCTGTTATTTGGTGTAATTCTTTGTTTGTAATTCTGTCCAGCCAGTTCATAAGGTTTGAAGAAGGATGATCCTCACTAAGAAGCCATTTTAATCATTGATCTGAGAAAGTGGTTGTATACAGCTGATAGTTTAGATATTTTTGAATGAGTTTGGTACCATTCATGACATCCATATGAAAAATGGCAATATTTTAATTTGGGTCTGAATTCTTTTGATAAGCCCTTTAATTTGGAACCAATGTATATATTGCTCTATATATGTTATGGTTTAATCTAATCCAGCTCTATTACTTGTATGTTTAATCTTGTGTAAATTTAAACACATATATTTAGGCTGTTGTAATTTTGTCATTCATTATTACTATACTTGATATTTTTCTGATAAAACTTTATACCTTATACAAGGTATAGCAGAAATACCTCCCACATTTAAAAGGTTGACAAAGAGACCAAAGTAACTGCTATTAAAAAAAAATATTTCACTGTTGTTTAAAGGACTACAGTTTTTATTCATTTGTTTGAAATGACATCTTCCAAATGATGGCCTTTATTTGCCATAAACTGTTGTAGATGATTTCTAAAGTTTTCCATTACTCAGAAGTTTGAGCACTTCGAGTCTTCCAGGTAGCTTTCTGTTAATCACTGAACCTGTCAACCTGAAATTTTCAACTTATACCAGTATTGAGTTTCTATCTAGAACAGTATCATTCTGACATGGCATGAAATCTCATGCAAGTGTTTCAATTACAGATTCCTTAGTTTAAAAAAAAAACGTTTCAACAGCAAATGCACAGTGTGTACTGGTCCAAGCCATAATATTAATATATTTTATCTTTTTATTATCTCTCCTAAAACTTGCTCCACCATCTATTTACTCAAGCTTGTTAGGTATGTTATGCATTGTTTTCATTTTTGCCTTCAATATGTCCTGTGAGTATCAAATTTTCCAAGCACACTTTCCTCATTATGTACCATAGAAATTTTAAATATCTCTTCTTGATGTTATGTACAAGTGTCTTTTTTGTTTTCAATTTCTCTTTCTTTCTTTGTTGTTGCTCACATGTTCAGTCCATGGTATTCTCATCTTCCTTCTGTAGAACCACATTTCTGTTGCTTCAAGTCTCTTTTTCAACTTTGAGTAGATTGTCCAGCATTCACTGCCATATAGGAAGACTGATGTTGCATAACAGTTCAGTACTCTTTTCTTTGTTTCTAACAACTTTTTTTAATTTCTTAATACTTTGCTTAGCACCAGTGAATTTTAGTGTTGCCTGTTTCATCCTCTGTTAAAAAGCACTTCCCAGATATTTAAATTGTTGTACTTATTAGATTTTGGTATCTTCAATTTGTAATTTGCATGTTGAGCTATTCCTTTTGCTAACAACCATACATTCCATCTTCTTGTTTAGTCCTTTCTTCTCACTTTCCTTCACTACCTTCTGTAGGAGTTTTTATAGTTTAATTTCTCTGTCTATTATCAACACTGTGTCATCTACATATCTTATGTTGTTAAAGTTGTGGCCACTAATAATGAATCTTGGTAGGACTTATGATTCTCTGTATATGTTGAATAAGTCACGAAAAATTCTTGTCTTAAACTCCTTTCCATTTTTGTACATTTACTGAATTCATTTTCTATCCGTATGCAGGTAGATTGCTGCTAGTATAGGTTCAGGGTTATTCTAATAACCTTTACCACATTTGTCAAGAAAGTATTTATATACTTGTGCACTAATGGAAAAAGTGCATCAATCTTGAGGGTGACTAAATGGAAAAATAATAGTATAGGTAGCATAGGAACAATGTTTTACTTGTATAGTAATAAATATGTTGAATTATTATATTTTCTTTTATGTGCCACATTCCTTCATGGCATTGGTGATCATAGCTCTTCAATACTTCCTATCACTTATAGCTCGTCAATACTTCCTATCACTTATAGCTCTTCAATACTTCCTATCACTTATAGCTCTTAACAGTTTTTCACTTTTTGCTGATGCTCACACCCTCTGTTCCACCATCCATTCACATAAGTTTGTCAGTTGACTTGATATCTTCTCCTATCTCTCTTGCCTTGTAAGGGTTAAGCTTTCCAAACCCTCCTTCCTCATTATGTGTCTGATGAATTTCAGCTAGCTCTTCCTGATTCTGTACAAAAGTGTTCTTTTTCTTGCCATTTTCTTTAAGACTTCATTGTTGCAGAACCAAATCTTTGTTGCTTCCACTTATCTCTTCATCTGTGGGGAGATTGTCCAGCATTAACTGCCTTATAATAGGATGGATATTACATAGCAATCCAGCACACTTATTTTTGTTTCTAACAAAATGCTTAGCTTTTCGGATGCCTCTTTTGCTAGTCCAATGAGTGTTTGAATTTTGGCATCACATTTTCTATTCACTATTAAAACATTTCCTAGATATTTGAACTTCTGTACTTGCTTGATTTTCACATTTTTAATTTCTAACTCACATTATATGCTGATGACCATACTTTCTGTCTTGTAGTGTTTCGCTGAATCACAGCTAGACATCCGATTGCTTCAAGCTAGGATTGAAACTTGACTGATTTGGCATCAGTCAGAGACTCTAATCCTAAGCTATCGGTGCACAGCAGAGAAAAGGAATCTTTTAACGTATTATATATGTGATATATATATATAAATGCTAGACCAGCAGCCAGAGCACTCAATTCTGGTGAAGAGCTATGTGTTAAGCAGGAGCAGCAGTCATTTAAAATTCCCTTTCTCCATAGTGCTCAATCAGTGAATGAGAGCATATGAAGGGTGGATCAAGTCTCTTGATTGACATGTAGTTAGCTGAATTTTGATCTGAAATTATCATTGTATAGTGTTAGCTCTATGTAATGACTATTCACAACAAAATTAAGTGTATTGATAAGGAAGGAGAATATGATGGAAAATAAATATTTTTCATATAAAATAAATGATTTTTATATCATTAGGCCATGAACTTATTAATGTATTAATGTTTAAATTATTAAACACACACATCAAAATACATATTCCATCCTCCTCATACAAGAGTAAGGACAAATAGAAAAATGTAGATAAAACAATGCAACACTCAAATCACTGACAGGAGAAAATGACAAAGGTCAACAACGAGAGGATTTCATATTAAGTAAACAGTAAAAAAATAAAGGCATGAGTAACTGTGAGAGCAAAGTGGACTAAAACAAAGAGAGAGAGAAAAGAAATAGGAATGAGCAACTTGAATAGGGATAGGGAAGTGGACTGGAACAGAGAGAGAGTGCAAAGAAATAGAGAGTGAGAATGAGTAAGTGGAATAGAAACAGAGGTGGATCAAGAGGGAGAGAGAGAGAGAGAAAGAAAGAGCAAGTACAAAGAAATAGAGTAAGAATGATTAAGTGGAATAGGAATAGAAGTGAATCAAGAGAGAGAAAGAGAGAGTACAATGAAATAGAGTGAAAATTAGTGAAATAGAAATATAGGTGGATTGAAAGAAAGAAAGAAAGAAAAAATACAAAGAAATAGAACAAGAATGAGTGGAATAGAAATAGAAAGGGATCAAGAGAGAGAAAGAGAAATAGAGAGTAAGAATAAACAAATGAAATAGGAACATAAATATGATTTGGGACAAAGAGAAAGAAAAATAAAGAGAGTGATCAAAGAAATATTAAGAATGAGCAAGGACTATAGAGATAGAGACGTAGATTAAGAGAGACAGGAGACAAGAAGAGAAATAAAAGAATTGTATAACTTAGAACATTGTGAATATGAAGTGATTAAGAAAGGGAAGAAGAGAACGAGAGAGAGAGAGAGAGAGATTCTATTACATATTAAAACAGCAGCAGAAACTTAGAGTGTTGTTGCAGCAAAATGTTTTACCGTAAGAGAGAGAAAAGAAATAAAAAAGAGGCGTGTGAAAGAGAGATATACTGTAAGAGAGAGACAAAGAATTAAAAAAAAGAGAGAAAGTTAAAACAGGCAAGAGAGAGAACTATTCTGGGGGTAATAGAGAACATCAAAACATGTGAGAAAGAGAGAGAGATCTACTGTAAGACAGAGACGAAAAATTAAAAAAAAGAAAAATTTAAAACAGGTGAGAGAGTGAGAGAGAGAACTACTCTGAGAATAAGAGAGAAAACTAAAACTGTAAGAGAGACAAAAAAAGAGAAGATTAAAACAAGCGAGAAAAGAGATTGACTCTGAGAATAAGAGAGAAAACATGAGAAAGATCTACTGTAAGAGAGAGAGACAAAAAAGGTAGACTAAAACAGGTGAGAGAGATTTATTTTCATAAACAGAGAGAAAGTGAAGACTAAAACATGTGAGAGAAAAACTAGAAGATAAAGATAAAACAGGTGAGAGAGAAATCTGTTCCAAGAGAGAAACAAAAAATTAAAAAAAAAAACAAGTGAAACAGGAGAGAGAGAGAAGGAGAGAGAGAGCTCATGTATTATTGAGAAGAGAGTAGAAAAATACTCAGAAAGTAACACCTTTCTGTATTAATGTCAAATAAAAAGAATCAAGGTGAAATAGAGAAAATCATAAAAAGTAAATGAAAAAAATTGATTGAAGGAAAAAAAGCGAGCTAAAAAGTGAGTAATAAAAAAAGTGGTAAAATATATACTGTATTGTAAAAGCTTATTAACCAAAGGTTGGAAATGTAGAGATGTCAATAATGAGTCTGACCTGCGAGCCTCTTTCCATGAAAGAGGAAGAAAGTCTCTAATTTGAGTAATGTGTTTCCTTTGATGTTTTAAGGATTGACCAAAATAAAAAAAAGGAATTGCTTCCTAAAAGATCATCTGTACAAAAGGGCAAACACTTTTCATTCAAACTACCATAACCTTAAATATAGCAAAAACTGTTCTTTTTTTGTCAGTTGATTTACCTTTTATCATCATTTTCAACATGAAAAATAGCTGGAACCCACATCAAGCAGAATCAACTGGTGTATATCCTAACAACTGCTCAATGTTTCCTAATTAGTCTTTTTATCAGAACAGCAAAGGTTATTTTTTAACTCATGTAATTTATAGAGCAAAAAACCTTAAATTATTGTGCAATTACTGATTCTGTAGACCTGAGGTAATTCAAAAACAGCAATGTGAAGAAAAAATGCAAAAAATATAAATTTCTGGTGAGATCAGGCCACTTGAGCCAATGAATGACATGAACACCACTGATGATCTTTTGACTACACTGGTTGTTCATCATTAGATATTTTACAAACATGACTTAACACTTTCACTGCTGTATTTTTATAGCATTATTGCCTGACTGGGCCAGTCCATTTTAGGAAAAATATGTTACTTATTCCTAATGATTAATGTGTCCTCTTTGTTAATTTTAATCAATCTTTTTGGGAATTTAACTTAAAACATGGACCCTTCATCTTGAACATGAAAAAAAAAAGAGATGCGTTTACATTTTCTGAATAAGTTAAAGTTTGGTCATAATGCTTCTCAAACTGCTACCAACATTAATAGAGCATAGAGTGAAGCACCCACTTTTGATTGAACAGTATGCTGTTCATTTCTGGAGTTCCTCAGTGGGGATATGAGTCTTGAAGATAAATTGACAATCAGCATCTGAAAACACCAGTTGAACAAAACCCCCATCAAAGTGTCAGGGAAATGTATCAGATAATGGGTGCCAACATTTCAACAATATTGGATCATCTCAAGAAAATTGGCAAGGTGAAGAAACTTATTAAATGGGTCCCACATGAAAGAGTGGAGTGTGTTCAATGTTGCATATGCAAAATTTGAATGATTCATTTCTTGATTGAATAGTGACTTGTGATGAGAAATGTATCCTTTATGAAAATCATAAATAATCAACTGGTTTGATCCTGACAAAGTACCTAAACACTTTGCAAAACTGAAATTGCACCAACAGAAGATTGGTGATTGTCTGGTGTGTAGTAGAATTGTTTGAGACAACACAAATTTGCTTAACAATAAGCTTTAATGAACTCTGCATATCAGCAGAGTTCTTCTGAATATATGTGTTCAGGACAGATCCATTAATAGGGGAAATGGATCATGCCACATGGTAGTTTGTCATTGGTATTATCCATTACAGCTTTCAAAATCTAATCAGAGCATCACTACAAAAGTTTACTGCCAACAACTGAATGAAATATACATTCAGTTCAGTAAAATATAACTGGTTAATCAACAAAGTCCAATTCTGCTTCATGACAATGCTTGGCCACATGTTGCCAGGATGACCCTGTAAAAGCTCATTGACTTACTATATTCCCCTGATCTCTTGTCTACTAACTTTCACTTTTTTAAGCATCTTTCAAAATTTTTAATCCAAAACACATTCTATTGCAAAGAAGATGCAGAAATTGCATTCAGAGATTTCTTGGCATCCAAAGTTTTAAGGTTTTACCATGAAGACATAATTAACCTCATAATTTGATGGTAGAAATGTATAGATGTTCAGGGTTCCTAATTTGACTGATTTTACAAGTATTTAAAAGCATTAATTCAAGAATAAAAATTCATTCTAAAATCAGAGATTTTTTCCCAAGGAACATAACAACTACAAAAATATTGGCAGCAATTTCTCATAGGCAACACAATTTGGGCTTTGATCAGATACTCTGCTATTTAGACTATGCTAAACAACACCACCAACACAATATAATAAAAAATGTATCAGAAAACAGGCTGCATTGTATGCTACACTGGTTTAGAAATAGCCTCATGTGCTAGTTCATTTATAAGGTTGAGTCATAAATAATTTCCATTTTTGTTTCTCTTAAAAAATAAAGCACAAATACATTTTATTCAATTATATATTCCCCATGATTTGCAATGACTTGTTGACACTTAGGCAATTCTTTGATATCTTTTGTGTAAGATTTCACAGGTTTTGATGTAAAAAGTATTCAACACACTCTTGAATCTAGTTTACATTACAGAAATTTTCCCCATCAAATCATTTTGAAAAAATTCAAAAAAATAATAATCAGTTGGTGCAACATCAGGCGAATATGGTGGGTGGAGTAGAACAGACCAACTGAGTTCTAAAATTTTTTTATGTTATTGCAATCTTGTGTGGTCATGGGAGAGAAAACTTTTCTTATTGAAAAGTATAGGCTGCTTTTGACCAAACTATTATGGACACATTGCAGATTCTGGGTGTATAATGTGCATTTACTCTTTCATTGTGTTCTAAGTAAATAATATCTAAACAATCCCATGACATGCACAACATTACCTTTCTTCCATGGAGCTCAGATTTTGGGGTTGTTTGCAGAAATTAACCACTGTCAATCCACTGCTTTTTGCCTTGAACATTGTTGTATGTAACACAGTTTTCATTATTTGTTATGATATATATTGAGAAGCAGGATGATACATTCATAATTACAATTTGCTCCTTAAAAAAGAAATTACTTATGATTCAATCTAATAAGTTCTAGGGACCAACACTTTGCAGTGTCTTGAAAACTTGTTTTTAATTGCTTTCACCCCAAGCAAGTCAGTAAAGCCACTAGCACACAATGGATTACTGAATGTGAAAGAATTAGAAAATAGAAACTTTAATAAGGAGCAAGAACAAAAGAAGAGTAATCAAGAAGACAGTAGAAAGTGATTGACACTGCATTGAAATTTTTGAAGATCAAAGTTGACTGGAAAGCATGGAGCTAAAAGAGAGTTCCAGAAGTGATATGTGTGAGAAAAGAAACTGTTAGCATTGAACTTACAGTTACATCTTGCCAATTCAACAGAATATTGGTGAGATCGCATTGCTAATCTAGTACTGTGGTTAAATTCATTAAGTCTAGGTATCCCTGTGAAGAGCTGATCCAAACAGTTGCCATGCAAGTATTTATAGAAAAGGCACAGGGAGTCAACTTTACATTGGTGAGAAAGTGACTGAAACAAAGATGCTAGACCAAGACCAATAATACTGCTGATTCTTCTTTGGATATTATCAAGGATCTCTAGATATGTGGTGGGAGCACAAGACCATATGTGGCAGCAATATTCTAAGCATGATGAATGATAGACTTATAGATATGTAAGATAGGTTCAGGAGCAAAAAATTGTCTAGCATGAGTCAACTTCATAGCAACAGACCTAGCAATGGATTCAATATAGTCTTTCCACTTCATGTCAGCTGAGTATGTTAACTCAAGAAGGTGTAATGAGTCACTCACCTGGAGGTTAGTATCAGCCAGTACAGAGACTGGGCAGAATAATAAAGAGAAAAACTACAAACAATAAAAAATTGTGGAGGGCCATGATCGCTCATATGCTGAATGGTCACAACCAGTGTACAAAGAAAAATGAGAGCAGCTTAACTGATATCTAAGGATTATGGCAGCTCTTATATATCCAGTGACTAAGTGATGGCTGGAAATTTGTTTTGTGGAACTAAACAATCTGGCATTGTTAATAGCTAGGATTGTTGAAAAAGAGAAACAGCATTAGGCATCAAATGACAGGAAGTTGTGGAGAGCCATGATCAAAAACCTGAAAAGATCTAAGACAAAAGAAGATGCTGATATCTTTCTCTACCAAGAATTATCATGTGTTCAGCCATTTTGTTATGATGAACAATATTTTTCAATTACAGTGATTAACCTAGCAGTGGTTTTAGGGTAATATGAAATAAAGTGATTAAAGCAGGAGAATGTTGGAGTCTATATTAGCTGTTTCTATCATATATTATTAATTACATTTAAAATATTAGTGAAATAAGAAAACTAAAAGACTTCTCAGACATAACTTGTTTTTCTTTTGTATGAATCAATAAAATTCATCTTTAATTTTTTTGTGATCACAACCCATATTAGATTTAACATAATTACACAAATTAAGGAAACTAAATCTAGTTGTTGTTCAGGGAATGACTATTTAAAGATACAAAGTACTATAAACTAAACATTATTCTTATTTTCAGATAACAGAAGTCTTGAAAGACACCTTGATTCTATTACTCAAATGTCTAAAGTATCATCTGTATACTGTCTCATATATTTTCTCAGAAGTGAATGACTATCTTAAGAATTAAAAAAGACAATCCTTTATCAGACACTATAGACTAGTGTTCCAAAGTCATAAAAAAGCTTTACCAAGTAACAAAAAAAAACACATCACTTGAAGACAACAATAAAAATGGATAGCACATGTATCTAGAAGGGAAAAATGATATAATCAAAATATTAACCTTTCACACTACATTAAACAAAAGGCTTT